CGCCCAGAGTTTCGAGACAACAGCACGGACAACGGAAGAATGAACAACTTGGAGATCCACACTTGTGACATAATTAAAGCGGTCAAAGAGCTGCAAAATGGCAAAGCACCGGGTCCAGGTGGAATCCCTGTCGAGTTGGTCAAGTACGGGACTGCCAAGCTCTTTGAGTGCCTCAAAAAACTGATGCAACAATGCATCAGGGGTGACGAGGTACCAAGGGAGTGGAAGGAGTCTTGGATCAAGGCCATCTACAAAAAGAAGGGAAGGAAGGACGACTGTAACAACTACCGGGGGCTCTCAGTGACCGGGACAATAAGCAAAGTGTACGGGAAGATACTGAAAGCGAAGACCGAGGACGAATGGCAGGATCACGAAGCAGAGGAGCAGGCTGGTTTTAGAGCTGGCAGGTCTACGATAGATCACCTCTTTGTTATTGTCCAGGTCATTGAGAAGAAAATGGCCGTAGCTCAGGAACTGCATTTAATTTTTGTGGATCTCCAGAAGGCGTATGACAGCGTGCCGTTGGTGAAACTTTGGGAGGCCTTGGAAAAATCGAATTTTAACGGGGGGTTGATTGACGCTGTTAAGCGATTTTATAAAGGGAGTTTTACCAAAGTTAAGTGCCATGGGGGGTTGTCAGCGGGATTTTTATGTGACTAAGGGTTTAAAACAGGGATGTTGTTTGTCGCCAACATTATTTAAAATTTATCTCGAGTGCGTGCTAAAAGAATGGAAAAAGAAATGCTCTGGTATGGGTGTCCCCTTGGGTGATCTCGAAACTCTGTTTACTCTGTGCTTTGCTGATGACCAGGTGGTGGTTGCTCAAGATCAAGATGACGCGGAATACATGATGCGCAAGCTAGTAGAAGAGTATCGGAAGTGGGGTCTGGAAGTCAGCATATCCAAATCTGAGAAGATGACTTTTGGCGGTGATCAGCAAAGCATTGAGTTGGAGGATGGGCAGCAGATCAAAGGCTGCGAGCACTATAAGTACTTGGGAGTGCGGTTGACCCAGGATGGAAGGACGGATCAAGCTATCAGGGAAAGGAACACCTTAGCAAGGAAGGCTATAGCGATGTTAAATGGAATCCTCTGGGATCAGCGGATTTCCAAAAAGAACAAGAGGAGAATTTACAACGCTATAGTCAAAAGTATATTAACGTACGGATGTGAAATTTGGCAACTGAAGACTCGAAAAAGCATATCTAAGGCAACGGAGAATTTCCACTGAAATCAAAGGTATATTAACATACGGATGTGAAGTTTGGCAGCTGAAGAAACGGACACAGGATATGCTAAGAGCAACGGAGATGGATTTCTGGAGAAGGTCGGCAGGAATTTCTAGGAGAGATCGGGTCCGTAATGATAGAGTGCGTCAGATCATGGAAGTCGAAAATGACATCGTATTCGACGTCATGACCAAACAACTTGTTTGGTATGGTCATGTCAATAGGATGACGGAAGAGAGGCTGCCAAAAAAGATGCTTGATTGGGTTCCTCCTGGGAGGAGACGTAGGGGACGCCCAGTGAGAGGTTGGCGACAGGGGGTGATAAATGAGATAAGAGAGTGCCAACTCCCTGATGACCTGTGGGAAGACCGAGCTTTGTGGCGATTAGGCGTCGCACAGCGCCAAAGAGCGCTATAAAAGCGACTCATATATATATATATATACTTTCAATTTAAAGATAGCATGTACAAAATTTAAGACTACTGCAAATTTCCCATCGCCTCTGTAAGGCAAAATGCCGAGCGAGCATTCATTAGGACGTCTCAAGTGCTCTGCAATGCTCAGGATGAATGGCGTATGAACATCCGAGAGTTGCCAAATTCCCCTCAATAAAATAAAAGTAAAGACCCACTCTACTAAAACTCTTAGCTTTGAACTCCCCTTCCTCACTCCTGCCCATGGATCGTCTTATTATTACTCCCCTTCCTCACCCCGTCCATCGAGCGTCTTAAAAATGATTTTATTAGAGTAAAGATGCTTCATTTTCGAGGAAAATTATGAATATTTTTCCTTGACATTTTTCAGGAACCATAAGTGAAATTGTGAAGAAGATTATCTGAAAAGTTGGAGAAAAATCTGCATAAGTTTGGGAGGATACCCGTGTTTGATCAATTGAAATTTGGCAAGGGCTAAGAGTTGACACGGCGTTTTTCCTTGGCTCGGGAGTACACTGAGAAAAAACTATGGCTTATAAACCTATTAGAGGTAAATATGGAACACCACTAATAGTAGTACCTCTACATATAATAATAGCACATATACCTTAGTTATGGTCTCTGTACCTTAATTAGGTACAGAGACCTTAGTATGGTTCACAGACCGAGAATCATTAGTTTATTTACGACTATTATAGGTGTTCCATATTTACCACTAATAGGTTTATACACGGCGCGGCGTTTTTCCTTGGCTCGGGAGTAGTGTGCTTGAATATGATGGAAGGTGGAGATACTAACCATTGCAGTGTGTCTCGTCGGAGAAGTCGCCGCAGTCGTCCTGGCCGTCGCAGAGCCACTGGCGGAGGACGCACTTCTCGGTGTTGGGGCAGCGGAGCCAGCCGCCTTGGGGGTCGCACTCGATGCCGTGGCAGTCCCGCTCGTCCTCGCCGCGGTCGCAGTCCGGCTCGGCGTCGCAGCGCCACGCCGAGGGGATGCAGGCGCACGACTCCCGGCACATGAACTCCCCCTTCCGGCAGAGCCCCCCGCACGGGTGACCCGCCACCACGCGGTACCCCCCGCCCCCGCCACCGCCTCCTCCTGAACCCCGCTCTCGCCACCGCGCCTCTTCCAAGCCGGGCAACGTGTCCATCCCTGAAAACACAAATCTTCAATGGACAACTAAACAAAGTATTCTCATACATCGCACCTAACCATTTCACGTCCATCACGATTCTTCAACTAAAAATTACTGAAACCGGCTCCTAACTCAAATATAATGTTTTTATTTTACATGGAAAAAATCCATTGCCGATTATCATTTAAATTCTTAAAAAATATGTCCGAAAAGTCTCAAATGTATATTTTTCAATAGTGGAAAGCAGTTAACCACGGGGATGCTTGAATTAGCATTTTTGTATTGTAAAATCTACATTGAAACATGTGGTATACTTTTTTTTTTAAAATACAAGATTATTAACAGCGATATCATTTTTTTTCCGTGTACTTTGGTTACGGAAATTTGAATTGCCCGGTCACAAGAAACACAATACTCTACGTGAGTCGCGAATAGTATACATTCCATATCAACTCGCCGAGTGCACCGCAATAACGCAATGCGAGAAGTATTCATGCCGTCTTGTAGGCGCTAATATGCGTTTAACGCCGGCCGCACCATACTTGGCGCGATTATTCGAACTCGCGTTAGAATAATCGCGGCATCCAACACAGCCCTTAAAAGGCCCATGTTGTCTCTCAACGCCGGATGGGCATTTCAACGTTGCCTCGTTTCTCCCTATAAAATATTTTTTCCAAGTAAAGTTCGAAAAGTTCTCTGGGTTAGATTGTATGGACCATTAAACAAGGTACGAATTTGCACTCTCATACATGATTCTTCACCCCAGTTTTTCGCACAACGAAAACTACTAAAATTAACTTCTAGCTGAGATCATAGAGTACATAGAGTCGTAATGTAAGTGGGAAAGCTGGCACCACTTTTAAGCATTTTCCATGTCCCGAATTCCGAGACTCCTGTGTGACGCCGGGTCACTTTATCGATACATAATCGATTGTTTGCGATACACGGGTACCCGGCCATCCGATGACAACAACAACAACAACAACAACAAAGGAGATAGGAATTACCACGTATTCCACACCGCCATTTTGGATCGAAAATGTATCGAAAAAGCGACCCGAACTCGGCGCACACCGGGCTCGGAATTTGTCGAGCAGAACATGGCGCCAGCTCTCCCATTTACATTACGACTCTATGTACTCTGTGGCTTAGATATGAACATTTTTATCGAAAATTAGTTAAAGGAAATTTGAATTACCCGGTCACAAGAAAAACAATACCCTGCGTGAGTCTAATCGTGCATTAAACGGTTTTGGCAGACTTCTCAATCGACCATTGTTCCTTTCCCACCATTCATTGTTTAAAACGTAAACGATTTGCATAGCTAAACCAAAGCGTCAAGATTGAGGTTGCTATATTTTTTACGATGTTTTGCCCATTGAAAGTATACATTTTACAAAATGCAAGGTTCGCTTAATTTTGGTCTCTCTTTGGGTCTATTATCGGCCTAAACATGGGTCTAGTGACTGATTTTGGCGAACAATGTAGGTTCGGTGAATATGTGGTTGAATGCCAAGGAATGGGGATGTTTTGCCAAAATCAGCCTTCAGACCCGTGTTAGGGCCGGTTTTAGACCCGAAGAGAGACCAAAAATTATCAAAACCTGATCTCCTCCGTAAAATATGAACGTTCGATGCACAAAAAAACGTAGAGTTGAGGAGATTTAGCATGAGTGGGCCCAAAAATGGCCCTTATCGATAACTCAATCGTTTGGATCTTAATTAAGGTGAATCTACAATGGAAACCAAAGAGCGTCGTGATATCGAGAACGTTTTGATAAATCGTATAACTTGATGCACGTTTCGTCGCTTACCAGGAAGAGATACTTATTCTTCTTTCAAATTTGTGGAATTAACTTAGAGAATTCATTGTTTTACAATCATATTGTCGTCTTCGAGCGAAGGAAAAGTAACCACGTCAAGGTTGCCAAATTAACAGTCATTTATTTTAACAAACATTCATTTCTGCGATTTTTGCCTAAAATTGTTCTGATTTTTGCATGAAATCCGGGAAATATTCAATGAAATTTTGAAATGCCCATGATTCTCTTGGTTGAAATTCAATTTGCAAGGGAAAATTCGTATGATGAGAAGAAAAATTGGTACAATTTTCCCGTCAAAGATTCCCGAGTAAAATTGCCAGTTGGAACTTTACAACGTTCATTTGTCTGAAAAATTGGCAATTTTACTTTGTGAACCTTCCACATCTTGTTGAAATGAACTATTTCTAAAGTTAACGGCTTTATTCTAATTGTTATAAAATCAAGTTTTCGTCTTACCAGAGAGGACTTGGTCGGGGTACTTTCGTTGGAGATAATCTTCTCGATGTTGTTCTTCTTCGTAGACAGCCCCGCCTGTTCTTTCCTTCGGTTGCCGATCACCGGGTGAGCTGACTCTCGCTTCGTCACGTCCGTCATCATCCCCCTCCTTGTCTGCAGAGGGAGCCAAAGTTCAATTAATAACGCCTCAACAAAAGTAAACCAAACCCCGGGCCCGGGTACATGGAGTCAAAGATAGATTGACGAGAGTGCTAGGTAAATTTACGCAATCAAATGGATTGTATTTTGCAAAAAGGAACCACTAGCATTGCAATGATGCTAAGATTGTGCAACTTATTCTTTTGCAATAAAATTGCGGAAATCGTGAAAAACTATGAAATTTAGATGGTAATTT